CGTATGACGGAATCTCATTGCGGCAGGTCGGCAGCTATTTGCTTGTAAGTGCGAGCGAGACCGCACGAGGCGAGCGCTCCCGATTCACCAACCGACTGCTAACGTCATACACTGGACTAAAATTGAACTGCCCATTGTCGCACACCCCCAAAAAATAAAAACCTGCACAATTGGAAAATTTATTTCGTTTTAAAGCCGCATGTTTCATTCGTCTATTCTTCTTGCTCACAAATGAAATAGCGCTGTACTGTGCATGTGGACGACATCCAGTTGCCCGCAACTGAAGAAGCTGAAGTCCTCACCAAGCATTCCCCATCCTTGCTAGCCCCGGTGCTCCAATTCTCATAGGTGATTTCCTCACCGGTATCAATCCAGATCCATTCGGGGGTTAGAATATTATCCTGCTGATGAAATCCGCCCAAATAGAAGACTGAAAACAGCATCCATTAGAGCTAGAAGGGTTTTAGTGAGGGCACTTACAGTGTGCGGTTTCGCCAGCAGCGCTGATGGCTTCGTTCAGTGCATCAGTGTCCTCCAATGAGCGTTCTTTCACCAAAGTGAGGCCCAATCGCTTGCAGAAGGCCAAGGCTTGGGTGTAAGTTGCCTGGAATGTTCCCATTATGCCGAGGAAAGAGGGAAAGAAGCAGTTTCCTCACCTGTTCAGTTACAATGGTATATTTTTGAGCTGCAGCTCGGCTGGCCAGCGAAACCAGCACCAAAAACGCAGCCAGTTTCCACATTGTTCGCTATCAGTCAGGACACTGTTTTCGTCGTGGGTATTTATCAGGAAATGCTGTATCTAGACGTGCTCGAAAAAATAAAAATGCTCAAGTGGAGAAGGAAAATGCGACGTTGGGAGACAAGCCTTTGTGGAGAATTCAACTGAGGAAAAAATTCACCAGAACATGGGAGAACGAAAGTTTCCATACAATATAAAAGGGGGTTCAGGGCGTAAGATTTTGGAAGGTGAACTAAATTGGACATATAGATTGATTTTTTGGAAGCCACATAAGGGGCGAAAGGAATCCAAAAACTCTCATGTTCAAAACAGTTCCTCTTTCACACCTGGCCAAGTAGGACTGCGAAATTTTCACTGTTTATAGACAGTACTTTGGGGTGCCAAACCGGAAAATTTCAATTAAATTGACCCTCAGATGTGCTTTTCAGGCATTAGCAAAGTTGATGCTGCATAGTAAAAATCGTGCTCAAAGAGACTCATTTTGGAAAATTCGCCAACTCCAATCCAGACAATCTAGAATCTTGAAACTGTTGACGCCCTCAACATATACGTTGGTGTGCTAATTCGGATAATTTCAAGTGCGTTGGATAAGAAATTTATTTTTAAGAGCTGGGCGAAATATCGGTTGCATCGCACAAACATCTCCCAATGAGATTTATTTTCAAAAATTTGCTCACTCCAAACCAAACGTCGGAGCATCCTAAAATTTCTCACGTATATTACCGGTACCATCCGGTTTGAGTGCTAAAAATTGCAGGCAATTTACAGCACAGGATGGTTTTTCAGGATTTAACAAAATTGATGCTGCATAACACGAAGGGTTTTCTAGAAGACTCATTTTTTAAAATTGTTCAATCCCACATCAGACTCGGTAGGATGTTAAAATTTGTGACACCTAAGCCTACTACATCAATACGTTAATCCTGAAATTTTCTGGTAGATTGAAAAAGAGATTGATTTTTAAGAGATCGGCAAGTTTGTGCTGAATCGCACAAACATCTCCCAACGCGATCTATTTTCAAAAATGTTCTCACTCTAAACCAAAAGTCGGAACACGATGAAATTTCTCACGTATCTTACTGGTACCATTATATTTGAGTGCTATAAATTTCAGGTAAATTGAAGAACAGGATGGTTTTTCAGGATTTAACAAAGTTGATGCTGCATAGTACGGAGTGACTGCTAAGAGACTCATTTTAGAAAAATTGACCAACTCCACACCAGACCCGCTAGAATTTAGAAATTTGTAACACCATTAGGAAATACGTTGCTGTTTAAGTTCTGAAAATTTCGGCCATATTAATACAAAGGTTGATTTTTCAGAGATTAGCAAAGTTTCAGCTGCATCGTTCGAACATCTCCCAACGAGTCTAACATTTAAAAAATTTTCCTCTCCAAACCAGAAGTCGCACCACCGTCAAATTTTCCCCGAATATTACCAATACTGTCTTATACAAACCCTAAAAATTGCAACTAAAGCAACCTACAGGTTGATTTTTACGAAATTATCAAATTTGATGCTGCATAGTACGGAGTGACTGCTAAGAGACTCATTTTAGAAAAATTGGCCAACTCCGCACTAGACCCGCTAGAATTTCGAAATTTGTAACACCATTAAGAAATACTTCGATGTTTAATTTGTGAAAATTTGGCGTATATTGATACAATAGTTGATTTTTCAGATATTGGCAAAGTTTCAGCTGCATCGCTCGAACATCCCCCAACGAGTCTAACATTTAAAAAATTTCCCACTCCAAACCAGAAGTAGCACCAGCGTCAAATTTTCCTCCAATATTACCAATACTATCTTCTACAAACTGAAAGAATTGCAAGTACAGCAACGTACAGGTTGATTTTTACGAAATTATCAAATTTGATGAGGCATAGTACGAGTGATTGCGAAGAGACTCATTTAAAAAAACTGGCCAACTCCACACCAGACCCGCTAAAATTTCGAAATCTGTAACGTCTTTAGCAAATACTTTAATGTTTAACTGCTGAAAATTTCGCGCATATTCATGCAATGGTTGATTTTTCAGATATTAGCAAAGTTTCAGCTGCACCGCTCGATCATCTCCCAACGAGTCTAACATTTAAAAAATTTCCTACCCCAAACCAGAAGTCGCACCACAGTCAAATGTTCCTCAAATATTACCAATACTGTCTTTGTACAAACCCTAAAAATTGCAAGTAAAGCAACGGACAGGTTGATTTTTACGAAATTATCAAATTTGATGCTGCATAGTACGGAGTGACTGCTAAGAGACTCATTTTAGAAAAATTGGCCAACTCCACACCAGACGGTCTAGAATTTCGAAATTTATAACCCCGTTAGGAAATACTTGTGATGTTTAACTTCTAAAAATTGCAGGCATATTGATAGAATGGTTGATTTTTCAGAGATTAGCAAAGTTTCACCTGCATCGCTCGAACATCTCCCAACGAGTCTAACATTTAAAAAATTTGCTACCCTAAACCAGAAGTCGCACCACCGTCAAATTTTCCTCGAATATTACCAATACTGTCTTGTACAAACCCTAAAAACTGCAAGTAAATCAACGTACATGTTGATTTTTATGAAATTATCAAATTTGATGCTGCATAGTGCCGAGTGACTGCTAAGAGACTCATTTTAGAAAAATTGGCCAACTCCACACCAGACCCGCTAGAATTTCGAAATTTGTAACACCTTTAGAAAATGCTTTAGTGTTTAACGTCTGAAAAGTTCGCGCATATTGATACAATGGTTGATTTTGCAGAGATTAGCAAAGTTTCAGCTGCATCGCTTGAACATCTCCCAACGAGTTTTACATTCAAACATGTTTTCACTCCAAACCGAAACTCGGAGCGTCTTTAAATTCTCCACAAATATTACTCATGCTGACTTGTACAAGTGCGTAAAATTACAAGTAAAGCAAAGTACAGATTGATTTTTGCGGAATTATTAAAATTGATGCTGCATAGTGCGAAGTGCTTTCTGAAGGACTCATTTTTAAAAACTGACCAATTCCATACACACCAGACCTGCTAGAACATCGAACTTTTTGAGGCCTTTAGAACATGCTGTGGTATTCCAACTTTGAAAATTTCACGGATCGTTATTCAAAGGCTGATTTTTGAGAGATTAGCAAAGTTTCAGCTGCATCGCTCGAACATCTCGCAAGGAGTCTCGCATTAAACAAATTTCCCACTCCAAACCGACACTCGCAGCACCTTGAAATTTTCCCCAATAATTACTGCTACACTCTTGTGCAAGTGTGGAAAAATTCACATAAATTGAAGGACAAGTTGATTTTTTGGGCTTTAACAAATTTGGATTGCTGCTGCATGGTACGAAGTGCTTGGTAAGAGCCTCATTTTTAAACAGTGTCTAATTCCACACCCGAAAAGTCTGAAAATTGAAATTTTTGGCCCCTTTAGAAAACACTTTCGTGCGCTAATTCTGAAAATTCGAAGTACATTAAGGAAGAGATTGATTTTTAACAGGTGTGAAAAATTCCTGCTGCATGTCACAAACAGCCCAAACGCGACAAATTTTTAAAAAATTCGCAACTCCCAACCGAGACGAATAAAATTTTCCCACTGTATTGCGAACAGTTTCTTGGGTAAATCCTGCAAATTGCAACTAAATCCCGACACACGTTGATTTTTCAGACATTGACAAAATTGATGGTGCAGAGCACAAACATCATTCAACATAACGGACTTAAAAAATTCTGCACTCCAAATCTGACTCCAGCCATGAAATTTCGTGCATTTATAGACGACACTTTGTTGCTTAAATGCGGAAAACTTCAAGTAAATCGAAGCAGAGGTTGATTTTTCGCAGATTCACAAATTTGATGCTGCATCTGCAAGGCTTCCAATCGAAACTCCTTTTGAAAAAATCCGCCACTCCGAACCAGTCCAAGTAGCTTTGTAAAACCTTCCAGTCTTAAAGACGACCCTTTGGGGCGAACACGCTGAAAATGTAAAGCCCATCCAAGTGCAGACTGAATTTTGGCGAATTAATCAACCCAGAAGCAAAAAATCGCATCTGCTCAAAACTCGTCGCCTTTCAAACGCCTTGTGGAAGTTAACGAAGCCTTGAAATATATATTTTCGCATTCAACTTCCACTAGAAAAGCTTGACTTGTTTGGAAACTGGCACCTGCAAAGTACCTTATCGCACCAATCGAGTGGATTTCCATCGAATCCACAAAGGCATTTTTTCTGATTCAAGTGTCTTAGTGACGCAAACCACTAGTTTTCTGCCTTATCTGCAATAGATTCCTTATGAATGTCGCCAAACATCAGCAAGTCCTCATCGCAAGTCCACGATGGGAAAACTGCTGCTTTTCTTCGCCTTTGCTGCGGTGCTGAGCCAAGCGCTGAGCGAATACTACATTTCAACGGAAGCGGTAAGCATTCAGCGCCCAATTGGGTGCTGACTAGCTATGATTTCCAGCTTCTAACTCTGCTTTAGCTCAGCTTCATGCAAGCATACGCCACTTGCAAGCGCAATAAATACACGTTGGCCCGAGAACGTTCTTTGGAGGACAGCGACGCTTTGAATAGCGCCATCAAGAAAGCGAAAGCGACCACTCATGGTAAGCAACTGAAGAACTACATGCTGGTTTTAGACCAATCTGTTCCAGACTTATTCATCGGCGGCATGTATGATTTTACGGGGATTTTCACGCCTGTATGGTTGTGGGTTGAAGATGGAGAAGAGATCACTTACGATCATTGGGCCTCTGGCGCCAGTCAGACGTCCGAGTGTCTTGTTCGGTCTTCACTTACCACTGGAGATGGCTACTGGTTGTCGTCTTCTTGCACCGAGAGCCGATATTTTATTTGTGAATATTAACCAGCGATTGTTATAAAAAGTTGCAAATTGAAGTTTTCCTTTTATCCAATTTGATCCTGCATTCACTTAAAAAATCCCTACTTTAAATTCAGATTTGTGCATACTTTCCTGACTGTGTTTCAATTCCAAATCAAAATCAATTCCTGAGCTTCAGTCATTTATTGTCTATTTATCAATTAAAATACGTTTCGGTGTATTTTTCCACCATCATCAGTTTTTATGTGTAGCGTTGTTGCTCCTTTAAGCCTTGGCATATATTTTCGCTCTTTCGAAAAGTGTGTCAAGTTTGAAAGTTTCTTAAAATTTAACGCGTACTTGGATTTATCTGTAAATTTTCGTCGTTCTGTGCCAACAGACGGTTGATGTATGTTCAAAGTTTAATATCTTTAGCTGCATTAGTTGAGAGTTTACGAATTTTTCAACTTCCGTCTCTTTGGACGGATTTTCTTCTATGCTGCGTTAAGTTTCCAAGCTCATTAAAATTGAACGCGTACTTGAACTTATCTGGAAATTTTTGCCGTTGCGAGTCAAAAAACGTTTAATGTATGTGCAAAGTTTAATTTCTTTAGCTGCATCAGTTTAAAGTTCATGAATTTTTCAACTTTTGTCCCTTTGAAAGGATTGTCTTCTATGCAGCGTCAAGTTTGAAAGTTTCTTAAAATGTAACGCCTACTGCGATTTATCTGTAAATTTTTGTCGTTCTGTGCCAAAGGACGTTTAATGTATGTGCAAAGATTTAAGATCTTTAGCTGCATCGGTTTAGAATTCACGAATTTATCAACTTTTGTGTCTTTAAAAGGATTTTCTTCTATGCAGCGTCAAGTTTGTAGGCTTCGTAAAATTGAACGCGTGCTTGAACTTATCTGTAAATGTTAGTCATTATGTGCCAAAGGACGGTTTGATGTATGTGCGAAGTTTAAGACCTTTAGCAGTATCGCTTTAGAGTTGACGAATTTATCAACTTCTGTCTCTTTGGAAGGATTTTCTTCTATGCGGCGTCAAGTTTGCAGGCTTCTGAAAATTCAACGCGTACTTAAATTTATTTGTAAATTTTTGTCCTTATGTGCCAAAAGACGTTTAATGTATGCGCAAAGTTTAAGATCTTTGGCTGCATCGCTTTAGAGTTCACGAATTTATCAACTTCTGTCTCTTGGGAACGATTTTCTTCTATGCGACGTCATGTTTGCAAGCTTCTGAAAATTGAACGCGTCCTTGAATTTATCTGTACATTTTTGTCGTTATGTGCCAAAAGATGGTTAATGTATGTGCAAAGTTTGATATATTTTCTTGCATTAGTTTAGAGTTCAAAAATTTATTAACTTTTGTCACCTTGGAAGGATTCTCTTCTATGCGGCGTCACGTTTGAAAACTTCTGAAAATTGGACGCGTCCTTGCATTTATCTGTATATTTTTGTAGGTAAGTAACAAAAGACGGTTAATGTATGTGCAAAGTTTAATATATTTTCCTGCATTAGTTTAGAGTTCAAAAATTTATTAACTTTTGTCACCTTGGAGGATTCTCTTCTATGCGGCGTCACGTTAGCAAGCTTCTGAAAATTGAACGCGACCTTAAATTTATCTGTACATTTTTGTCGTTATGTGCCAAAAGACGGTTAATGTATGTGCAAAGTTTAATATATTTCCCTGCATTAGTTTAGAGTTCAAAAATTTATTAACTTTTGTCACCTTGGAGGATTCTCTTCTATACGGCGTCACGTTTGCAAGCTTCTGAAAATTGAACGCGTCCTTGCATTTATCTGTATATTTATGTAGTTAAGTAACAAAAGACGGTTAATGTATGTGCAAAGTTTAATATCTTTCCCTGCATTAGTTTAGAGTTCACGAATTTATTAACTTCTGTCACCTTGGAAGGATTCTCTTCTATGCGGCGTCACGTTTGCAAGCTTCTGAAAATTGAACCCGTCTTTGAATTTATCTGTATATTTTTGTTGTTATGTGCCAAAAGACGGTTGATGCATGTGCAAAGTTTAAGCTCTTTAGCTGCATCAGTTTAGAGTTCATAAATTTTTCAACTTCCGTCTCGTGGGAACGACTTTCCTCCATGCGGCGTCAAGTTTGCAAGCTTCTTAAAATTGAACGCATGCCGGAATTTATATCAAAATTTTTGTCTTTATGTGCCAAAGGAGAGTTAATGCATGTGCAAAGTTTAGTCTCTTTAGCTGCATTAGTTTGGAGTTAACAATTTTTTCAACTTCCGTCTCTTTGGAACGGTTTTCCTCTATGCGGCGTCAAGTTTGCAAGCTTCTTAAAATCGAACGCGTACTGGAGTTTACCTGAAAATCTTTATCGTTGTTTTCCAAAAAACAACTGACGCGTGTGCAAAGTTTAGGACCTCTAACTTCATCAGTTTAGAGTACATCAATTTTTCAACATCAGTCTCATTGGAATAATTTCCGCCCCTGCATCCTCAAGTTTGCAAGCTTCTTCAAATTCA